TGACTGTTTCTGGTTTTGATTTAGAAGAACCAATTGAGATTATAAAAAGAAAAACAAGTGGTATGACTTGTATAACCAATATAGTTTTTACCAAATTTCTGCAATAAGGGGAAATATACTTCTTTCAAAACTTTGTGAAGTGAATTTTCACATTTTTTAAATAATTTTCAGCTGTTAGAGACTGGCCATGTTCTTCGATTTTGAAGGATCCTGGGAATCAGCTTCGATTTTATCTTTGTCTGCAGACACCTGAACGATGTCACAGCATCTAGTTGAAGCAGGAAGCCCACTTTAAACAGGCTACAGCTGGACAATGAGGCATGGCGGTTGTGTGATATGGCCACCATAAGCGTATGATCTGGAGACAGAATCAAAGCACACAGTGGCTAGGAGTGTACTGCTTGAGGTGCCATAATGTGCATAACAGTGCATCAGTATCTCTGAAATGTGATCTTTCAGCATGTCATATTGAAATGAAATTATCTGCAAAACAGAGTAAATTACGTATGTTTTATTATGACTCCTAATATAAAGCCTTGTGTATGGTGACAAAGCAAAATGTTAACTGTTAGGCACAAAACAGAAAAAGCAACAGAAAAGTTTAGTTATGCAGCTCTCTTCTCCCTGATGCATTGAAAATATTTGCAGTTGCTACTGAATTAGTGTCTAAGGAAATGAAATATCTCTTTTTTTTTTTCTCCTAACGTACCTACAAAGTTTACAACGCAGGAAAGTGTACAGGATAAGACTACACAGCTTTAGCACTTTCAATATCCAAAGTTCTTGAAAGATGAGAAGTGTTAGCTCTCCAGTAAACAAAGCTTCCATATGAGTGATGGGCATCAGTTGAAGAAATAGTCTCCTTACTAGGACTGGATGAGAGCCAGTGTTTTCTAATTTCCAGAAATTTCATCTATGTTATGTTTATTCAGAAAAGAACTAAAGTCAGGAAAAACAAACAAACAAACAAAACCCCACAGAAAACAACCAACCAAACAAAAAACTTAAAAAGAAAACACCTTCATACTCAAGTTCAAATCTGGAACAAAATTACATTTCAGGTCAATCAAAAAAATTGGTTTAGTAAAATTTAGCCTATCAATGGACTTTCTAACTTGTATTTTTCTAAAATGAAAAACAAAAAAATATATTTAAAAATTATAAACTACAGAAAAATCAAAATTCTAATTTTACTTTCTCATTAACAAAGTAGTGTATATTCAGAATACATTTCAGTGAAAGTTTTAACAACTCTAGATAACTTCAGAACAACTCTAATCCACCTTTTGCTGAATTTCAAAACAGCATTAATTCAGAGCTTACTTCCAAACTGATATTTCATTTCAAACACAACTGCAAGTAAAAAGTGCTTTCATCAGCAAGACCATTGTGGATTAATGCTAATATTAGTTTTGATTTGAACAGAGCTTGAGAAAAATGTCATGAAACCATTAGAGCAAGAAAATGGATCTCTGAGTAGTAGAAGACATCAACAAGCCAACAAAGCTGAATATTTTTTTTTTATCTCCTTCTATTCATTGGGGAATATCAGAGAAAGATACCTTACTGCAATATGATTTCTTATACCAAAATCTTTGAGATTAGCTAAATTACATGCACTAGTAGAGACTATAAAATAAGTATACCAGAAAACAAAACCACTATTTCAGAGTAAGATAGAAAATGAATTTGACACTTCTTACACTGTGAAAAAGCATCAGCTTCACATGCATTGACCAAAAAAACAAATTAGGGGGATTGAAAGTTACAGTGCTAAGCTACCCGAACTCTTTAACAACAAAAACACGTTTTCCATTATATTTACCGTCCACTGCTCTCCAGAAAGCTGAAAAATAAATTTGTTTATTTCCTTATTTACTTCATCTGACAAAATACGCCTCTTCTGGAGCTGAGGAGTCTTTCCATAAGTGTCCAAGATCTTCTTATCAGTGTTTACAAAGCCATTCTTGAGATACTTTGATTGTGG